GCGTTCTTGGCTCGGACCAGGAGTAATAACAGCTTCCAGCAGATTCCATCCCTTTGGGATTCTCCGGGTCTTGGTAGGTATGCTGTATGCTGGGCCTTGGTGCAGGGGACCCGCGCGTCCCACTGGAGCAGTTATGTCCCAAGCATTCCCAAACACTCCCTAAACCCTAAACTAAACACTTGTCATGAACCGTACTTTTCGACTTATCATGGACCCTAATTTTTCGATCCTGGGGCATGGTGTGGGCTTTCGGAACAGTGCCAGGAGCCAATCACCAGCCTGAGGCTGTTTTTCGCTTGGCTACGGAGGCAGAACGGCGGCCGTAGGGTTTGTAGAGATTTGTTGAGGGTTTATCGTGGCGTAAGGGCTTTCCGGCCGGAATCCACTTTATCCAGCACGAGGCAAAGGACAAGTTTCATATCCCCAGATGGAAGGAGTGAGTGCAAGAAAGTCCCAAGGTCCTCATTCCTTGGATGCCCTCTCAATTCATGAGTCAATAGTCAATAGTTGGGCTTGAAAGTCATCTGCGATTTTGACGAGAGAGCCGCGCATTGACTCGCCGATGTATCCGTGTGATGATTGCGGGCAAACAAGTACCTCACAACTAGCCCAGTCTTGCGTTTGTTCAGAACCCCACTCAGCCTTCCTTTTCTTGGCGTCGCCAATGATTTTAGAGCTGCAGCAAACACACCCTTAACATGACTGCAGCGCTACATGGTGGGCTCTTGGAAAGATCGTGTCGAGACATTCTGATTTGCCCCGGCCCCGTCGCTGCTAAGTGGAAGTTGCATTCAAAGCTCGAGCTTAGTGAGCCGGCTTTCATCGGGTTTTGGTGAAGTGGCATCACCGGTACGAGACATCAAAAGCGAGCGTTGCAGGCTCAAGTTGACGCCTCCTCGGTCCAACACGGCAGCACGCTGGCCGCTTGACTCATTCGTGGAGCTGGCTGCAGAAGCATTACGTAGCACAGCCGAATCTGTCATATCTACCCTTAAGCGACTACATTCTGGCACGACAATGCACTCGCAAGTTGAGTCATTGAGCCCCTAATCCCAAGAATGTTCTGCGTGCTCGCTTATGTAGTCCATAGTCCATAGTTTCAGAAAAGGCTACAAGCAACAGCAGGTCGGTCTCCGGGATGCGAAGTTCTCTGGTCTCCCCTTATCGTCAGGTGGTCCACTTGCGAGATCAGCATATTACAGACATGTATGTTCGGACGTGGATGCGTGTGTGTGTGTGTGAGAGAGAGAGAAAGATTTCTGTGAAGAATCTTTAAGAAAGATGTACCGATTATGTGTTGGGGTAGCCGTTGGGGAACCGCAAATTGAAGTGCAACGTGTAGACGACAGCTGAACTGCGCTCTGAGGTACCGTGCCACCGCCATGCTGGAGAAGCCGGGAACTTTCTTGTTTGGTTCGGGCTTGACAGCTATGTGGGGTTCGAGACCGGATGTGTCACTGAGTGCAGTTGTGCGTGGAGTTTGAGTACTTCCAGGAAAAATCCGGCCGAATCTGTGGTTTGTGTATTCGTGAGTTGATCAGCTGTCATGTAGGAACCTATCTATAGCTATATAACAATCTGCTGGTGTGTCCGGGCGATCAATTGTCATGTTGCAGGCAAGTATGCGTGAATCTGCACATGCGCAAGTACTCAGCTACAGACGGACAGACATTCCGCCTTTCCTGAGCTTTGTGCCCTCGTTGGGTACTGGGCCAAAACTCAGCCACTTGTGTGCAGGGACGCTGCGATCGACTCTTCCAAGATGCGTGGTCCTCATTTGAGGGGCTTCGCTTGTGGGTGTCAGTATGGTGATGATGATGACGACGATGACGATGTTGATGATGACGATGATGATGATGATGACGATGATTGCGATTATGATGACGTGGCGGTGGTGGTGGTGGTGGTGGTGGTGGTGGTGGTGGTGGTGGTGGTGGTGGTGGTGGTGGTGGTGGTGGTGGTGGTGGTGGTGGTGGTGGTGGTGGTGGTGGTGGTGGTGGTGGTGGTGGTGGTTTCGTTTCGTTTTACACGCCGCTAAGGAGGTCCTAGCTGTGCGACAGGATAAGTAGGTCAGGCTTTGAGCCCGGTCGCATAGCGACGCATCACGGGTTGATGCGCCATCCTGAGAAGCAGAGCTCGATGCCCCGCCCCGAGGGGCCCGTTAAGCATCGAGGAGTGACAGCGTTCCAAGTCGATGTAAGTGATTGTTCATACAAAGTGCAAACCGAGAGAACAGCCTCAGAAGGTTCTAGAGGGTATCAGCACAGAGTTTCAGCCTATCCGCTGCTATGTACACTCAGTGGCCCGCTCGCTGCTCAGCACTGTCCCTGTCTCAGTCGTCACTCGACCCGGCACCGTGGTTCAAAGTGCGGTGTCGGTCTGTAGAGTCGAACTGGAGGGAGTAGAAGCCTCGACGACGAAGCTGAGCGTGCCCCTCCTCCGGCAATTTGTCCACTGCTCTGGCGTGGTAGGCCACCAAAAGGATTCTGTCGCCAGCACTCCAGGGGTAGGTAGCGTGCAAAGTGTCCGGATTCAGCTGGAGGTAAGGTCGAGCCACCGGCAAGAGTATACCTGGCGGCCCATTCTCCTCCAGTCTTATCGAGCCACCCGCGTCTGCCAACCAGAGTTGGCCTCCTTTCCAGCGGTTGCATGGAATCAGCAGATTGGTGGAGCCCGGTGCGTTCCCAGTGTCGCGATGCATATAATGTAAAGTGTTGACCAAAAACGCGCAACTGCTGAACTGGTGATCACTCTTAGTGCCTCGAATCACTGAGGTGAGCCAGGTAGTGAGCCAAGGAAACAGACCAGTGTTGGTCTGAATACCACGGATACCGCCGCCACCTATCGAGTAAGCGCCTGTAAGAAAAGCACGCTGCAGCCCTCCTGTGGCGCCGTCTGAAGTGGTTGTTTGCCGTCGCTTCACATGTGATTGCTCTGGAAGAAGGGTAGCCAAAGTGCAGAAGTCCTCGGAGTGGCAGAAGCCTTGCCGACATACACGGTATGCCAAGTGTTCCACCACATGAGCGCTCGAGACCGGCGTGTTGGGGAGAAGTCCATCTGCAGGCAGTCGGAGCTGGTAGGCTAGCTCATTTTCCGCCCGGCTAATATTCCACAAGTCGCTCCAGACCGTCGGCCTATCAATGAGTTCCACTGAATCGTCCGTAGCATCCGTGGCGTCAGCATCAAGATCAAAGCCAGGGCCGGGATCAGGACTGGGAACAGGAGCAGGTGCTGGATCAGACGCAGGGCAATCTTCCATGGCAGGTGGTGTGTCGGCCGGCGGTTGCCCATCCCGGGAGACCTTGGCTCTTGATTGCCCCACTCTCGAGGCTTTGGGAATCACTGGATCTGAATTTGTAGCTGCGGTCAAATCCCGGGAGCGCGATCGGGAACGTGACGAGGTAGGTGAGGCTGCAACAAAGGCAGACGACGGTAAGTCCTCGTCAGAGTCCGCACATCTCCCGTACGCCATGCCCAGGATGGATGGCTGCTCCAGTTCCCAGATATCTTGTGGGACGTCAGCCGGCTTTCGTGGTAACATGATCGGTGTTTTTTTTTTTAAAAAAATTTTTATTTAAAACCCAGCATCATACAAAGAGAAAGTATGCGAACCAAGGCACCATGCCGGAACACGTCCGGGGTGGACTATGTTCTGACTCCGGGATGACGGGTAACATGTAATCTTGTTGGTCTGTGGCAGATGCTGCAGACGGGACATATGAAAGTGGGGTCCCTGCCGGGCATTATGGGTTACCGAGGAGTCTTATGAGGTCTTAAGGTATGATTTGGGTCAAGATCGGGATCAGGCGGGACGTGGATGTGCTTGCGGGGGGATGGCCGGGAAGGTACACTAGCCGTGTGCTGAGCCATGATGCATGTCAAGACAAAGCGCATGTTGCAGTGATGCGGCCAGCCAGCGGCGGCGCAAAAGCAGGATGCACTTCGGTACTCAGGCTGTGTGAAGTTGCTTGTGTCTAGAGGCTCAAGGTGCAAGACTCAAGACGCACACGAGGGCATATGTGCTGGCGTACCAGGCCGGCAAGCTGATTTTCGAGCTCGGAGCGCCAACGCCAACCCCGCCCCAATCATCCGCAGTGGATGAGCCCCTCACAACCTGAAACACGGGGAAGCATGGGAGATTGGGGGGAGGATGGTAAGGCGGCTACACTTACTCGGAGAGTCCCAGGCATGCCTGTGCTAGTTGTGCCCCAGGCGCCGGCATATCAGAAGATATACCTGGCGCGAGGCGTAGGGTGTGTTTGCGCTCGGGTCCACGGCGGACCAAGGGCGTGGCAAAGTATTGTCATCGAAGAGCCAGGCCTTGTCTGCATGGTGGGTGATCGCAGTATAGTGTCCCTGCTCAACCCGGGGGCCGTGATGGAGAATGGCAGCGCAAACCCTGTACTGGATGTTAGTGGATTCCAACTCCACGCCCGAGAACACCGGTACATGAATGATCGAGCCCCAGCTAATCATGCCTGTATGCTTACGTATCCCTCGGCGTGTTTCGATGAACCGTGCGAGTCGTAGAATGAGCACATTGGGTGGTTGACTGAGAGCGTGGATGCTAGACTGATAATGCCATCCATGTAATAGGGACTGTACAGTGCCTGCACCACCCCTAGGCGGGAGATCAATGGATACTGATTCTAGACAGCTGCCGCCGTCCTGTATGACAATCCCACCGGGCTCCTGACGTCGGGCTTCCCAAGCTCCTGAGAACGGCAGTGAACCTAGGAGAGGGATGATGTGGGACAGGAGTTCAGCCGCATCATGCTGGCGATTGGGCTGAGCCCAGTTATGTAGCATGCGTATCCAAGGCGTGCACCGCAGCAGGCGCAGCGGGGAGCCCCCATGGTCAATCAAGGCTCGGAGTGCTCCTGTACCTAGTTCGGACAAATCTACAAGAAGGGATGGCTCGCAAGTGAAGGACCAAGCAAGGCAGATTGCTGTAGAGTTGAGATAGCACACATTCGCATGATTTGTAAGGATCAGGCGCCTCAGCGAAGGAGTTTCTGGATGGCTCGGATCAAGGGCGGGCGCCCGTACCCCTCCTGACGGAAGGAGGTGCCGATGATCTGGAACAGCGCCAATCCGCGGAGAAGCTCCAGCTGCTGGTACAGCTCCTCGGAGCCCTTGGCTCGCAGACCCACATCCGCCTGGAAAGCCACGGTGCCCTGCATGTCGGCATGTAGCTCTCTCCTGGCCGTGAAACGGGTGATTGTATCCCCGTTGATCAATTTGAGGAGGAGCTCCAGGGACTCCTGGGCTTGAGCCTGCGTGAGTGCCGGTCTCTCCGGGTCCACTTCCAGGGACTGATGCGAAGGGTTCCACCGTTGGTAGTTCCATGCGCCCGTCTCCGTCATCCAGCCACTCTTGAGAGCAAAGGCCTTGTTCTCCTGGTTCATCTGCGCGTGCCTGTCCTTGAGATGCGCGATGATCCCCCAGAACAGTGCCACCCGGAGAGACACACGAGCCGGAGAGATGGTCTCCGCCTGGGCCGCATCGTGCCACTTCGTGGCCAGCTCCGCCAGCATCGGCAGGATCGAGTGGTCCCCGGATCGGACCCAGAAGACCCAGCCTGTTGCTCGGCGAATGACATTGATCGAGTCGCCCTGCATGATCACCGCCCTCGCCACCATTTGCAACAGCTCCCCGTCTTGGTCCTGTTCCTCGGAGCCATCCTGCCAGGCTCCCCTGGCGCGGTTCTGCGGCTGTCGACCACGTCCCTGAAAGCCTCGTCCCTAAAATCCTTTGCTGGTGGTGGTGGTGGTGGTGGTGGTGGTGGTGGTGGTGGTGGTGGTGGTGGTGGTGGTGGTGGTGGTGGTGGTGGTGGTGGTGGTGGTGGTGGTGGTGGTGGTGGTGGTGGTGGTGGTGGTGGTGGTGGTGGTGCGGCTGCTGCTGTTTCTGCTGTTTGTTGCATAGTTGGCGGCGGTCGTGTTGTAGGCTGAGTGGAAGATATTCGCCATGCTGGTTGCTGTAATCTTGCGCTCATGTCCTTGACGTTCCTTTCTGACCTGCTGACCTTGCTGCTCGCCAAAAGCCACCCGCAATGGAAGTAAACTAAGTAAATGGTGACGTGGCCCCTTTTTGATGATCTTTCATGCCCCGACAAGGACGGCTTTCGTGTCCTACATCGCTGACCTGACCATTCGCTGCCGTGATCTCTGCAGTGATGAGCCGGGTCACCCGAGCCGAGGGCTTTCTGCGGACTGTCTGCTGTTTTATAAGTTTTGAGGACTCAGGTTAGGTTTCAGATTTCGGAGCTAACTGGAACATCGCGCTTTGATATGGCTGATCCTGCACTTGCCTTGATATGGCCGTTCCTGCACTTATTGTCTTGAAATATCTTCAGACTGTGCAAGGAGGAGCCTTGTCCTCATCACACCGTGCCAACATAGGACATCTAGGTTTAAATGTCGAAGTTCTGGCCTTGCCCTTGGAGCACAAAACCTCAAACAAAGACCACCCACTAAAGGGAACTCCAGAAAGTTGGAATATGGATTAATGGTAGGATCCCCTATAATTTACCTTAAAGGGGTTACGATACTGATATTCCAACTTTCTGGCTTCTACTGTACTGGGATTAGAGACAGAAGTACAATTGTGAACCTGCCAAGCATTCTTTTCCAAGCACCGAACCGCTGAAGGCGTGACACAGACCTTGCCTGCCGTGTGCCGAATGCTCAGAGCTGGAAACTCCTTGAAGGGGGTTGCATGCAGGGAGCGCGCATCATGCCCAAATGCCCATACTTCCTTATCCACACTTTAAAGACACATTCGGGATCCGGGTCCGGAGCTCCTTCAAGCGGAGTCCGCAGTATCTGCTCACTTCACGTGCATAGCGATAGCCCTCCGCCGCAGGCGCAGCGATCTCTATGGCCTTGTGCAGCTGCTTCGGCGGCCGGACAAGAGTGCTCGTCTCAGTAGGATGTCTATTTACCTGGACCCTATATATAAGGAACCTACCTTTTTAGGGCCCCCCACTGTAATATGATTTCTTTATATAAGTCCTTAAAAAGGTCGGTTATTTGGGGTTAAGGTTGTCCTGGTGCCCCAAGCAGGGGCTATCGCGCATGAGACCACTGCGAAGCATATATACCAGTGTAACGGCAAACCATCATAAGTTCTGGGTTTCAACAAGCAGTAACAAGCGTAAAAACTTTGAGTGCTCTGCTTCGTCATGAACTGCATATCCTGAAAAACTAAAAAAAGGCACATCCGTCTGTTGCACATCCCCCTGTCAATACGGCATCATGGCTCAAGCCACCGGGCTCCTGCCGGTAGCGTGGGATCCGTAGGTTCCCGGAACTGGAACCTCAAATCAGCATCCCAAACGGGCCCCATAAAGGCTACAGTTCCTTAGGTGTTCTGTGGGTTTCCATCTTACTTTTGGGGAGCCCTAAACCTAAACCATCCTAAACCCAAAGGCCTTGATTGAAAGCAAATCAGACCAGAAGCCACAAAACCTCCAACTCGACTGGCCTCAAATGCGTGAGCACCTGACGGCACATGAGTTACGCCAGCAGGGCATATTTCGCTCTGCAACTGGCGTGGCTGTGCTGTCCGGTTGTGGCCGCGTGTGGTCTGCATCCACAGATGATGCCCTCTGCGATGTGGAGGGAACCCAGGCAACGGAGCACGTGGATGTGTTCGTGAGCCATTCGTGGACGGCAGATCGATGGACCAAGCATCTGGCGATGTGCTTCTTTCTGAATTTCGGGCTGGCGGTGAAGGCCACGCTGGCAGCTGTGATGCTTTCTCAGTGCATCTTCCACTATTTCCCCGAGGAGCCCATCTGCGTGTTCTTACTGGTCTTGGATTTCCCCATCTTCGTCTTCTTCCTTGCCTTCTTCTTTGCCCAGCATCTGACTGGGGGGCGCTGGTGTCCGTCTCTCTGGGTTGACCGACTTTGCATTGACCAGCAGGACTTGGAAGCGAAACAGCTGGGCATTGCCGCCGTCCCCATGATTGTGGCAAACTCGTCGCAGCTGCTCGTCTTACACAGCGAAACTTACTTTCAACGCTTGTGGTGCAACCTCGAGCTGTCGATCTTCGCAAAGCAGCATGGTGTCAAGAAGATGAATCTTGTGCCGTTGTGGCTGGCGCCGTGGCTGCTGAGCACCATGCTGTTGCTGTATTTGGAGGGGCGTCTGCTGGCAGTCATGTTGGCCCTGAACCCACAGATGGGAATTGCTGCGAGCGAAGCTGGCTTGAACGCTTCCATGAGTCCTCTTGCCTACGGTTTTCAGCATATGCTGAGCATCCTTGGGGCGGCTCCGTTCTATGCTGTGCTGTATCTTCCCCTGGTACCGGTGAGCCTGACGGCGTTTCAAGCAAAGCTTCACAGCCATGCTACGCTGCTGGGCGACATGGAGTCCTTCGACATTCGGGCGGGAAAATGCTCGGTGGAGCAGGACCGGCAGTCGATCGAACAACAGGTGGCCGAAGTCTTTGACGACCACGAGGGCACGGGAAATGACGCCGAGGAAGAGACCACCAGCCTTCTAGTGCCCTCCGGTGAAGCTAAGACTGCGCTGTCTCAAAGTCGCAGCCCGGTTCACGAGCGGCGTCTCGAGGCCTTCAACATCTTCGTGCGCGGACCACTCCGCGACGCAATCATCGAGGAGTGGGGTCTCGAGACACAACTTCCTTGGCACATTTGCCTGCTTGCATGGCTGCCCACTTTGCTTTGCCTAGCCGGCGTGTCCTGGTCTTCCCTTGCCTTCTACGACAAGATGGGCTTCACTTCCCTCGGGCAGTACATCCTGGTGAGCACCGTAGAGATTGGCCTCTGTTATCCCCTTTGCCTTCCATTGGCCCATCCTTGTTGCCTACGCTGTTTGAGGAGTGTTTCCTGCTTTTCACAGCCCTGGCTGCGCAACACGGTGTCATCTCTCGGCTGCATCGGTGTCTTAGTCTGCGTCGAAGCGGTGGCCGAGATCTTGACAGGCTCCCTGGAAAGCTTTGCCTTCACCGCGCACTGGGCTTTCCTGGCCATCTTTCTGCTCACCTTGTCCCTTTGTCATAGTTATAGGTAACATTTTACATTTTTATGGGTACTTAAATCCAACAAGGAATAACAATTTAGATTTTTACTCCTGTCCCAACCATAAACTAGGTCCTTTAGAAGCTGCCACCACCCTGTAATAGTGACTATAAGGATCATATTAGGACGCACTATTACAGGGTGCGGGGGGGGGGGCCCCTTCTAATAGGTCCTTATCTCTTCTGGTCAGCTTCCACGTCTTCGTGCCAGCTGCGGAAGCACCCTCAAGTCGAGGGGTCCGACGAGGCTAAACTACTGTTGATGATATAAATCCTGCATTACCTTAAGGACCCTAAACTATGGGAATTATGGTATATTCCTTATTATGGGTCATGCAGGATTTATATCATCAACCGTAGGACCCAGAGTAGGCCCTTATTCCCTTTTTAAGGGTTCAGGTTCCCTTATTTCACCCTTTCAACCAAAAAGGGCACCCTTTTTACTCCTAGGTTACTCTTGGGTCTAGTTTAAAGGAAGCTTACCCCTTGAAAACTTATAAGGTGGTTAGTTAGAAGGGGCCCCCGCCCTGTATTTGTGGTACAATAGGAATATAATAGGGCCCTAATATAATCGTTATAGTCACTACTACAGGGTGGGGGCAGCTTCTAAGTGGTTAGTATATAGGGGATAAGTTACTATAAGGGAATGCTTTATATCCGGGGTGGCAGAGTTTCAGAGTGGGTCCCGTGAGGGGCGGGGTGGGTCTGCTTTTGAAAAGGAGCTGCTTGACTAGGGCTTAGACTGCTTTAACCTAATCATGTGTATTCGGATGCAGTGTCAAGGCCATGAGTTCCGATCCCAACTCATGTTATGTTTCACCCAGCCGACTTGCGAACCTCATCGGGCAGAGTCCGAGCGTGAGAGCGTAAACACTGACTCAAGCCGAAACCCTGATTCTTAAAGCCCTGCCCCCCCCCCCCCCCGCCAAGCCAAGAGACCTCACCTGGCGAGTGCGAGTTGGGACAGCGTAGAACCCGATATCAGAAACTGTTTGTCTTGTGGCAAGATGAACTCGCTTGCTTACGAACTTATCCCCTACGATGGGGATAACTGGTTGCATTGGATTCCTTTCAAGAATCCTTGTAAAAGGGGTCTGCAAGGGTTTGTTGTACGGAAGCCTTCAGTATTAGGTACAGTAATTTGTTGAACTACTTCATGTGGACTATAAGGAGATAGTATTTGGGGGGTGTAAACGGGCATATCGTTGCTATGCACCATGAACCTGTTGCAGCAGTGTCCGGTTGTGAGAGCATAAACCCACCGCAAAGCCTGTTGACACTGATCACACTTTGCATAGAGCCGAATACAGATTTCGCAGAAAAAGTATAAGTGTAGTTGTGCTATTATGATATGACCCAGAGCCCTATTCTACATATTACGGCTCCGACATGAAGAACCCTTGTGCCAACGCTTATAGAAGCTCTTTTGGAGAACCTTGAGAAGGGATCCCATTTTTGGGAACCGTATTCTAGGCCTTGGCCAAGCTTAGCAGGTCGTGAGCAGCAGAAACAGCTGACCGACGACAGCTACGTGCTGAACTCGTCTGCCGTGCTGGTAAGGCTTTTGTGGAGCTTCGACGTGGGAGTTTCCGGAAATGGGGGTACCTTATAAGGATCCTACTGCTACGATTTAGGGTACCATATTAGGGTCCTCTATTTTCGGAAACTCCCGCATCGAGTTCGGGTTGCAGTTGCTACACTTAGATGTTCCCTGAACCGGCTCGATGGTCCATGGCGCTTGCGGTGCTGTTTCTTGCGGTAGGTGGCCTTCGATACTTTTCGGAATACTTGGGGTTCGACTTCCGGGGTGGCTCCATGTGGATCAGCATTGACAGCAAGATCATATGGGTGGTTGTCAAAATTAGGGTCCCTTTTTGGGTCCTTAATATAATACGGCACCTAATATTAAGGGTACTTAAATAGGGACCCTAATTTTGACAACCACCCATATAGTTACAGCGGCCTGAACAAGTCGGAGCACAACTTCGTAGTTTTCCTCATGATGGGTTCAACTATGACAATTCCCGAGACCCGGTTTTTACCACAAAGGCCCCCGACCTCAGGATTGTTATGAGGTCAAGAGCCTGATGCAGCACTTAACGTTGAGGTTTGATGTTGATGTTGTACACGTGTCATATAGGGGCCTGAATAAATTTGAATTGGGTTTGGGGGTAAACTCTACTATATCTCCCCAAAATAGTATGGGTAATGATTTAAGCCCCGGCCGGCTCTCGGATTTTTGCAGTTGGGCAGGTGCCCCTAGTTTTAAAGGCTTTGGGCTCATTTCTCCTTCGGATAGCTCAATGTCTCCTGCACTGGCATCCGTCGGCGCTTGCAATTCTCCTGACTGTGGTATGTTGCGATTCAGTGTCACTTTTCGACCATCGCACACGCCATGTGACGAAAGCCTTATACCCGAAACCCTAAACCTTAGAAACCCTAAACCCTAAACCCTGTACGAACCATAACCTAGCTGACAGCGCGTCAAGTCCCCCGACACTGTTTGCACCGCCGTCCGGCTCGGAAGCTTCGTCTACGTCGTCGGGGAGGGCCAGAAGCTTAAACTCTGAAACCTCACGCAGAACCCCGTAGCTGGGAGTCGAACCCGTCAGCGCTACCCCTTACTCCCCTACTTCACCCGAACTAGGACCTATAGAACCGATGAGAGACTAGGGCTGAAAAACTCGGGTGATCGGAGAGTTCGATTGCAGTGAAGCCCTGCACCCCAACCAGCAGGTGGCCCCAACAGGGGAATCTGGCTAGAGTTCATACGAGACTTCCTCGACAACAGCTTTAGCTAGCTGTAGCCATGGCTTCGATTTATTTGGGCTCCGTGCTGGGGGCTGTTGGGCACCTGGTCACTCTGACATTCTTAGCAGAATGTGTGGGCCGTTTTTGCACACATCACTGACCCAAGAGGCCAAACAACAAGTGCGGTATGTAGGTTTGTAACGGTTAGTATTCACTTAACCCCATAGTTGGCATAGTCTGGTCTATCCCATTATGTAGGTAAGTGAGATATCAGGTTCGAGGCGATGATTCATTGGTTGTTCCATTCGATGAGGTTAACCCAGAGGCTCCACAGTAGTTCCTTTTTGGGCTTCATACTTAGAACCCTGTAAGGTTATCCCAAAAAGGAACCACTATGGAGCCTGTGGATACTTGCCAGTTTAATGAGCAGAAGGCCGATGGCAGTTTGTGCACAGTCCCATCAGCAAAGCCTCGGAACCATGGAAGACTGGGGCCCTGTTACGGTTGATGATATAAATCCTGCCGTATCTTAATTAAGGACCCTTAACTATGGGAATTATGGTATATTCCTTATTATGATTATTATGGGTGCTGCAGGATTTCTACCATCAGCCGTAGTATTATGTCCAGTCGTATTATGTCCACGCGCTCCTTCGGAACCTTCCGCTCGAATGACATGTGTCCTGTGGAGTACCGTACCGTTTGTTCTCTCCTTCTGTGTCTGGTGTAGATATCATGTTCGCGCTCCCAGCAATCCCGAAGAATTTAAGATTGATATCGACTGAGGCGGATGGGATGCTATTCCTCGCGGACCCCTGCAGAAATCTTGCCTAATGTCCGCACCCGAATGACCGTTGCAAGCTTCCCTTCCATTGAAATCCCGGTCTTGGCCCATGCCATGCCAGTCCTTTGCCACGGCCTCGAAATGGGGCTCAAGGGCGTCGACCCCAACACTCCCTCACTCCCTGCCTCCTACCCTCTCTCTCTCTCTCTCTCTCTCTCTCTCTCTCTCTCTCTCTCTCTCTATATATATATATATACATTATATAGATGTATGTGCAGATTTCAGCATATACATACACATTTTACGTATACATGTGTATATAATCATATATATATATATATATATAACCAGAGCCCAGATTCCTCAGCCCGCAACCCCAAACCTCACTAGAAAGCCCGACCTCGTGAATCCGTGCCTGCCAAGTGGGAGTGTGCGAGTCGAAGCCCTACCAGCTCAGGCGAACTTTGGCCAGCTTTCGGAAATTGGGATTTCTCGAGCCCTCCATCGGGAGCCGCGGCACAGATGGGAGAGGGGGAATAATGCAAGGAAGACTGTCGTCTCTGAACCTGCTTCAGAAGGCCGCATGTTAGTATTCAATCCATCAAATCCACCGACCCGTTACGAGCACAGTTTGGGATTATGACCGTTGGGTGTGTGTGTTGATCTGAGACACCCGGAAGGGGCCGCGAGGCTAGGATCATATTGCAGACACACACACATACATACATACATACATACATACATATATGAATATATATATATATATATAGATAGATAGATAGTTGCAGGCAGCATGAACTCCCTATAAACAGACCTCGGCCCAGTCAAAGCATTTATGCCTCGACAATCAGCTGCACAAACAGTTGGGCCTCTGCCAGCATTCGATAGTATTTAAAAAGTCTCTGGGGCTTTGACAAGCTATGGCCTTGAGCCCTCGACGGATGCCATAGCACAGGAAAACATGAACATCGCAAAGGCGGCCCTGCAGCAGGTCCGATGCTGTATCTTGCAAGACATACGTGCAAGTTTAATTTATTCAGTTGTGAGCTTCCGTTTCAGGATGCGCACGCCGAGCTTGCTCGCAGAGATAAAGCATCACAGTTCCAGCGAGGTTCCTTTCCGCAACAACAAGCCTACAAGTTGCCAGACCGAGGGCATCTGATCTGGAGAATAGCCAATGCGTCCAATCAGCCTGAGCATGAAGTGACCAGTGACCCTGCAAACAGCATGGTTTTAAACCACGAGCTCCAGCTTACATGTCAGGATGTCTCCCACTCCGCAGACTCTTGCATTGTGTTGAGCTCTTCGTGCGGGCAACTAGACCGGTATGTCTGTGCGATACCCTTGGAGAAGGACTCCTTGGCATTGCGACTAGATCTCCTCGGCGCTTTGAAGGAGGACCTGCTGAAAAGGTACACATCCCTGAGACTAGAGATTTGTTTGGGGTTTCTTGGCCGCTTCTTGGCCAATAAGTTTGAGGGCTGCAGGGTTGAGCATCTGAGGTTTTTGAGAGGACTCTGGCAGACATGACCCCCTCGGAGTCCATGGCAACCGCCACCCGAGTAAATGTCCCCTATCTCATACCGAATACACCCCAGACCCACAATGCTGAACCGCCAGGACATCCGTGATCACTATGCCAACCATACAGGGCAGGTTGACACACTGCGGCTTTGCTCAACATATAGGCATCGGTTGGCGTTGTAAAGCAAGGACA